ACTTTGGTGAGTCACCTAAGCAGGACCAAACCCTGGAACCTTAGCTCTTCTCCTCTGCCCTCTGCACTTGTGGGAGCCAGCTAGAGCAGAGGGAAGAGGGAGAGCCAGAGAACAAAGGTAGGGCAAGGAGAAGGGAGGGATAGGAGAAAGGGAGGATGACTCTCCCTGAATTAGCTTCCAAGTTCCAGCCCAAGACTGGTTTATCCCTGTGCCAGAGCATCTCTCTCTGTCCCTCCGCCAGCCCAACTCCATCCCCCTTCTGACCTCAGCACTCCTCTCAGGCCCCATCACCATCTCCCCATTGTCTGTAGCCAACTCCCAGAGTTCCCTGCCTCCCTGACTCAGTGTCTCTGTTTCTAAGTGCCCCCATAACTCTCCTAAGATAATTTATTCCTACCCCCAACCTCATACCTCACTCATACCATACCCAAGCCAGCTCCCTTCTACTTAAAGTGGGGTGGGCTCTAGGTTGAGCACAGGTGAGACTAGATCTTTGTTAACTTTTCATTACCGCAGAGGGACTCTCACAGCTGTTCCCTGTTTAGAAAAAATTTAGTTATTCAGAGGGCCGAGGAAATAACCAAAATTTACCTGAGAGGTAATAGGCCTATGCCTCCAGCATCCTTCCTTCTGCCCTCAGCTGCCTGCATGCTCAGAATAGGGTTCTAGGTGACAAGTGCCTGGGCAGGGAATCTCCAGGCCCACTAGAGTCTAAGCTTGTCTACCCCATACACATACACATGAAGACAGAGTCACATGCACACGTGCCCATAATCCTGTAAATACAAACATATAAAATTAATGTAAGTATACATGCATTCCCACATACACATTTTAGACTAGAAGGGGAGTTCCATGAGCGCAGAAACTACTTTTTCCCATGATGCAGCCCCAGCCCCCACAATAGGACTGGTACATCACAAAATATTTGTAGAGGCTCTGCACCTGTAGCTCAAGTGGCTAAGGTGCCAGCCACATACACCAGAGCTGGCAGGTTTAAATCTAGCCCGGGCCCACCAAACAATGGCAACTACAACCAAAAAATAGCCGGCATTGTGGCGGGTGCCTGTAGTCCCAGCTACTTGGGAGGCTGAGGCAAGAGAATAGCTTAAGCCCAAGTTGGAGGTTGCAGTGAGCTGTGATGCCATGGCGCTCTACCAAGGGTGACAAAGTGAGACTGTTTAAAAAATATATATTGGGCTCGGCGCCTATAACTCAACTGGCTAAGGCGCCAGCCACGTACACCTAAGGTGGTGGGTTCGAATCCCCAGCCCGGACCCGCCAAACAACAACGACGGCTGCAACCAAAAAATAGCCGGGCGTTGTGGCAGGCGCCTGTGGTCCCAGCTACTTGGGAGGCGGAGGCAGAGACTCGCTTGAGCCCAGGAGTTGGAGGTTTCTGTGAGCTGTAATGCCACGGCACTCTACCCAGGGGGACATCTTGAGGCTCTGTCTCAAAAAAAAAAAATAATATATATATATATGTATATATATATATTGGGCGGCACCTGTGGCTCAAAGGAGTAAGGTGATACTGTAAAAAACAAATATTTGTAGAAAGAATGACATACACTGGAACACATATTCTCAAATAAATGTAAATACATACATATATACAGTGCTCATGTATACACACACACACAACCTTAGTGTATTTCCATACACTCCTATGTGTGTTTAGATAACCACATATATAACATTGTGATATACATACTGTGCATATAAATCTAACTACTTTGAACACATCATATAGACTTATCACACACATATATATAGATATCACATGTGTACAACACATAAATTTGCACGTTCACATATACTAAATGAGTACAAATAAGCATCTTTTTACTCAGATTTTTCCAGTTAAACAGTCTCAAGGCCTCGACCCAGGTCTGACTGTCACTATCAGAAATACCCACCAGATGGCACTCTTTCGCCATTCCCATTTCCTGTACTCCCAAGGGTTGCCAGAGATGTCGCTTCTTTCTGCTACGGCACAAAACTTGCGGAGCCAGGTGTTCCCCAGGCGCTCCCCTCCACCACCGCCGGCTCAGCGAGTGTGTTCTCAGTTCCCAAAGCCTGAGATCGTGGCCTCTCCTCTTGGGCCCCCAGACTTCTTTTGGAGGGACGGCCTCCCACTGGGGGCTCCAATTCGCTTAGTCCTGAAATCCACCCATTACCAGCTAGCCAAGGGCTGGGCTTCGCCGGGACATCCTCACTTCCAGACCGGCGCGGCTGAAGGACCCTTTTTTGGAGCCATTGTGTTAACTAGCCCGCCGACGGAGCGGCCCTTTTCCCCATGACGGCCCGAAGAATAGGTCAGAGTCAGGGTCATTTGTACGCATAGCCCCCTTTGGCTTACTCCTCACACCTTGCCCCAGGTGAAGGAGAGATGGACACCCAGCCTGGTCAGTCAAAAGTGGGGAGGAAAATGGCCTGACCCTGCTGAGACCAGGAACCTTGGGCTTGGCAGGAGCTGATCCTGCTTAACCTTCCCTGCCCGGGTCGGGTCTTGACTCTGGGTCTCTGTGTGGAAGCCTAAAGAAAACTGCATTCGCTGGATCTTTAAACTACTTAAAATCCCAAAGGTAGGGGAAGTAGGGTGGAACTGGGCCTCTTCCGCCCTCAGGCTTGGGCTACTCCGAGTTGGCTCTACTGGAATCTCACATCTCCGGTATAAGCAACCTAGGACGAAAAACAAGGGGAAGGCTTGGAAACCCGAGGGGAGGAGAAGCCGGTAATTCTGGCAGCGGCTCAGCTCCCCCCCTCCCCTCTCTTCCCCCGGGAGCAGCGGGAAATTATTTATTAAAACGCTGCCCGCGCTCTCATTTATTTGCGGTGAATAATCCTCGGCATCTCAGCGCGTTTATTAAACCTTTCCCGTCCCCGCGCCCGCATTACTTTAATAATAAATCGCGTGTCACTTTCCAGCGACGTTATTAAAGCGGTTCCGCTACAGCAGGGGCGGGGTGCGAGGAGGGTGGGGGCGGTGGGCAGCAGGAGTTCCTCTGGTTCCAGACCGTGGGGCTTGAACCAGAATGGCAGCAGAAGAAGAAACTGAGGCCGCAAGAAGTCTGCTCCTGAGTATCCTACAAAGTCTGCAAGTGCGGATGGAGGGGTACGGATCCTCCAGGAGCGGTGTCCCACACTCCAGTGGGCTGGGCCTTTTGGTGGAGAGCTTCGGCATCGCAGGTGGGCGCGGTAGGATCTCTGGGCCCGCAGGGGGCGCCTTCGAGCCAGCTGGGTTAAGAAAACGCTTGGGGCAGATGCCCAGGCTGACGCAGGGACTCAAACTCACCTTCCCTCTTCCAGTTCCTTAGCGGGACTTTCCTCTGGCTCAGAGCCGCACAGCACGCCCCACCCCCACTCACCCTGTTGCTCCTGTTTTGGCGGTCGCCTTGGAATTCGCTGCAAGTATCCAACCTGCTTGTGCTCCTGAGACCGCCTGGCTCCAGCCAGGGTTTGCCAATTAAAACCGTCGTGTGCATTGGGGTACCGCGCCAAGGCGACAGTAGATGGTAGTGCGTAGAGCACTGTAGGAGCCGCCAAACTCTAGGGTTGGGGTTCCAGACCACGCCTCTCCCAAGAGGCCAGGCTCCCTGGGTAGGGCCCCAGAGGACAAACTCAGACGCCGCCTGGCTTAGAGCAGTCCCTCCTGCGGTGGCGCCAGGCTCCGGGCGGAGCCCAGGAGCGTAGGAGGCTGTCGCCATCCACACACCGTGCATCTTGGCTTCTCTGACTTCTATCTTCTCCTTCAACCATTCAATAAACACTGGGTCTCACCAGTGTCCCTTGGCTAGGTAAGGAGAATGAGGGAAGAGATTTGGGGAGCCAAAGAGTGCAGTTGTGTGAAGGACCCCAAGCCAGATAGGACAGGTCACAATTGGGACAGACAGGAAGCAGGCCTTGGGTTCACCCGGGACAGGGGTAGATTCCTGTGGGAGTTGGGGAAAGGTATGGCCCACAAAGGTGGCCAACATTCTCTCTTCCCTAATCCAATTTATGCTTTCATTTCGGTGCCCTACCCATACCAATCTGATTTCCCTACTCTATCTAGGAAGGAGACCAGAGTAAGATGAACAGAGGGGCAGCTATTTAATTGTATTTTAGCCCCAAGGGAAGGCAGACTGAGGACAACTGCCCTCCAATCAGATGGCTCCACCTTCTCCCTCTACAAGACAGGAAGCCCAGAGTTCCAGCTTTCCTCTCTATACATGTGGCAAGCATGTGCTTAGAGGGCAAGGCCTGCAGTTCTGCAAGCCAGAACCCTATTAGTGCAGGAGGCCTCCCAGGGATCTGATCTTCATGTGCACATCTGCATGAAATATCCGTGCATCTGTGTGGCTTAGATAATTTATAAATCTTTATTGGTGTTTACTGTGCCTAGTCCATGCTAGGCTTTGTCTAATACAGTGGTATGAGATATGGGGCCAGCCCCGCCCCTCTTACTGGGGGAAACTATATGGTGCTCCACTCTGCTCTCTTGTACAAAAAATGGCAGCGCAGCAAAGTGGACTGCAGTCAGTAAGTGCAACCAAGACTTAAAGAGGACAAACTCAAGACAGGTTACGTAAAGGTGAGGGACTAGGAAAATAGTGGAATCATGGCCTGCAGAGAAGCACAGTTAGAAGAAACTGGCTAGGCTCGGCTCCTATAGCTCAACTGGCTAAGGCGCCAGCCACGTACACCTAAGGTGGCGGGTTCGAATCCCCAGCCCGGACCCGCCAAACAACAATGACGG